CTAGCAAGATGGTTCAGTGGGTAAAGACACTGACTGCCAAGTCTAACCATATAAATTTAATCCCCAGAGAGAATCAATTCCTGCAAGTTGTCCTTTGACCTTTAGTGTGTGTGAGTGTGTGTATATGCATGCTCTCTCTCACACACAGACATTTAAAAACATGTAAAAAATGCTTGGATATCATTTTGTTTGTTAAAAATACAGATATCGGAGACTGGAAAGATTACTCAGTGGTTAAGACCAGTTGCTGCTCTTGCAGAAGACCCAGGTACAATTTCTAGCACTCCCAGAGTAGCTCAGACATATGTAACTATAATTTCAGGAAATTTGACACCCTCCTTTGACCTCTGTGAGTACAAAGCATCCAGGTGATGTACATACAAATGTGTAGGCAAACACTCATATGCATTTAAAAAATCTTAAAGATACAGATGTTCCTGGAGGTATGGCTCAGTAATAGAATACTTGCCCAGCACTGTGACAGGAACAAGACAGGTCACAACGGATTTCACCAGTGGTCCTTGTTTAGCCAGTACGGGTGGCACTCAAGATGCTGAAATGGAGAAACAGAATGAGTTCAAGGCCAGTTTGGGCTACCTGTGAGGTCCAGGCTAGCCTGGGTTACAAAATGAGATCCAGTCTAAAACAAACATCTCCCAGTCAATCAAACAACTAAACAACAACACTGGTGGAAAACGGTTTGACAGTTTCTCAAAAAGTGAAATGTACAATTGTTATATAACTCAAAAAAATTCTTCTAATCATAAGTTCAAGAGAGCAGAAAGCAAGATCCAGATACTCACACACCCGTGTCCCTAGCAGTGTTATCCATAATGCTTGGAAGGCGTGCACATCCACAGATAAGAGATGGACCAACCGTGGTGAATGCATATGATGGAATATGCCTCATCCTTAAATAATAATGAATTTCTGACATAAGGTATGACAGGGATGGAGAGATGGCTCAGTGGGTCAAAACGCCCGCTCCAAGCCTGATGGTAAGTTCAACCTTGGGGATTCACATGGTGGAAGAAGAAAGCTGACTTTTGTCAGTTGTCCTCCGATTTCCATTTGTACACCCTGGCACGTATGTGCGTGCCTCACATGGGTACACCTGTAGACACACACACATGTACACTCAATAATTGTAAAAAAATTGTCATATGTTGTCATCAATTTCTCATCTTCTCGCTCCAAAAAGCACAGGTATAGTGGCTCCCACTTCAGCAGTTAGCAGGCTGAGGAAAGAGCATTGAGGCTTTAAGGCCAGCCTGGGCTATATAGAGAGAAAACTTGTCTCTAGCCAAACAAAACAAAACAAAAACAAAAACACAGCCGCAAAAGATGCAACATGGCCAGGTGTGCTGGGTGCTCGCCTGAATTTTATGCACTTGGCAGGTGAAGGCAGAAGGATTTCTGCCACAAGTTCTAGGCCAGCCTGTTCAAGCCAGCCAGTGCTCCACAGAAATACCCCGTCTCAAAATACCAACCAACCAACCAACCAAAACAAACAAGTAAAAATACAACATGGCTGAAACCTGAAGATATTATTCTATGTGAAATAAGCTAGCTATTACATGACAGATATTGAATGACTGCCCTCATGTGAGGTCCCCCAAGCAATCAAACCTATAAGGTAGAAAGTTCTAGAAGAGGAGACGGACAGTTGCATAGTTAAGTGGATATACTCAATGCTGCTCAATTGTCTGTTTAAAAATACTTAAAATGGAAAATTTTGTGGTATGTACTTTTACCACAATAAAAATACAAATTCCTGGCCTAATGCCAACAAGGACTGATTTGACTGGATGGTGAGATGCTGGCCTCTGTGGTTGCTAGCCAGGTCTTCCAGAGACTCTATTGTGCAGCTAAGTTTGAGCCCCACTAGCCTAGCTCTGGTTGTGGGCAGACACTGGGTGGTCTCTCTGAATGCCTTCTGGAGGGGACTTCCCAAACTTCTGTGCGTATCTGCACTCTCGGCACATTGCCAAGAGTGCACAGCCTCAGAGTTACAGTCGGTGACTCCAGGGTGGGGCCTGAGGAGTCACATTGCTTGCTTCTAGGACTGGTGAGGCTGTTGGTCTTTGGACCACATTTTGAAGATGAAGGCCCTCAAGGTAGCTTTGCTTGCAGGGTACAAAGGAGATATCCAGAAAGGATGGATAGACATTTAAGGTCATTGATCCAGGTCTTCATTTTGCTGAAGAAAAAATGACAAGGGGTAGGGCTTTGGGGGATCCGGGTGTGTTTCTAACAGGCAGCCTTGCATCAGCCAGTCACATGGTGTGGTTCAGCATTATCAGCAAGTAAACCCGATTCTCCCTTCTCTTCTCTTTCTCTTCCTTCTCTTCCTCCGCCTCCTTCTCTTCCTCCTCCTCTTCCTCTCCATTTCTTTTCTTCCTCTGCTTCTTTCTCCTCCTCTTCTAATCTTCCTTTTCCCATTTGTGACAGGGCCTCACATATCCCATGCTGGCCTCAAACTTCCTGTGTAGTCATGGGTAATCTTAAACTTCTGACCCCACCTCCTGAGAACTGGGGTTACGAGCATGCACCTTCACAGCTGGTTCATGTGGTGCTGCAGACTGAACCTGGGCCTCCACATGTGCTAGGTATGCAGCTACTGACTGATTTATCCTCTGGCCTGGCCTGTCTGAATTTCCAGACCTTGTGGGTCTTAGTAAGGGGCCAGCTCAGTTGCACAGGCTTTAACTGGCTCCTGTTTTTCTTCCCATTGTCCCTCTCATCCTTTCTTAACCTACAGAGTCCTCCTCGGGCCCTGAGCCTCCTCCAGCAGCCTCCCAGGCTGGTCCGTACCCTTCTACCACTGACTGTGTCTCTCCACAGAGAAGCGTGCCGTGCTCCCCATCCTATCCAGCCTGCATCAAGGCTCATCTGACCAGACGGCTCAGTATCCACTGCTTACCTGCTTCAGCCTGTTTGCTCACAGGCTGGATTCTTCTAATGGCAGCATTGTCACGGCAGAGCTGAACTTGGAATATAAACAGTGGAACACTGGGTAGTGTGACTCAGTGGCCAAGAGCCAGAACTAAAGAGTCTGTTTAGCCTCATTGTGGTCACTTCCTGAAAGAGTTTCCTAAGCCCTGAGGGCCTAGCTTTCTTGTCTGTCAGATGGAAATACTGACAATGAGATTAGGAGACAATGTGATGAATGCCTTCTGCTTAGCTCCTGTCCCCCACACCACAGGGCATTCTCAGGACAATGTCCCCTTTGCAGTTCCTCGGATGGTGGCTCTGTTTCCTGACTACTATGGACTCTGAGGAGTTAGTTTTTCATGAGTGCGTTCTGCCTGGAGCTAGGTCTGATTTGTATTTGTTTCCCACTGTTCAGAAAGCAGAGGTGCGTGTACGCTCACTAAGTCAATTCTCGACAGTTTCTAGGTTTGATTATTGTGTCTGCAGTTCCAGACATGACCTGCAGATGGTGCACATAGTCACGGGAGGTGTCAGGTTCTGAGCTGGCACCAGGGCCTTGGTTTTCACCACTGTTAGCCAGTTCTCGGGGATCTGTTTAGGTGGAGGGGCTGAGCTGGGCACTGCTCTATGAACTTAGCCTTTACTCCTTCCCTTACCTGTTAATATGGTTGTTCATATTAATTCCTGGACATGCCACATAAACTAGGTAGGGTTTCTCTGGGCCCAGGCTGTTTGGTGTGACCTGCCTGCTTGCTGCACTATCCTCCTCTCTCTGTGCCACCTGTTGGTCCCTTATCAGTCCTGTTATCTTCAGAAACAGCAGGTCTCAGACCCACCCTCCTTCCATATCTGCAGCCCTGTGTCCCCAGGGCTGGTCACACACAGGGCTGGCCACGGTGCAGGAGCACTCCGTGCTCTCATCTGCGACACTTCCCTTCCTCTGCTGCTCCAAACCTTTGTGGCCGTGGAGGGAGGTCATGGGCCTAGGATGGACCGTGTCACCAGAAATGCTGTTACTGTATACCTAAATCCTCTATGTGACAGTTGTCTTTCTCTCTGGTGTCTGAGTTGCTGACTCCTTCCAAACCTGGTGTTGTTGCTCTTCTGTTCTGAGCCTACGGATATGCTGTTTCCTCTGTCTTTGAGCCCCTTTTTGCCCTCTGACCTCCAGCTATGACCACACCTTGCCCTACATCAGCCCAGAGCTTTGAGTTCTGCCTGGATCCCCAAGTAGTATATATATTCACTTGTACATGGTGTGTAACTGTGCACTGGTGGTTCACGCAGCTACACTTCCCTAGCTACTCTGGCTCTTCTGGAAGAGAATCCAGGGGACTCACATCACCTGCTCTAGGCTTCCCAGAAACATTCCCTGACTGCCTCATTGCAGGGGCTCCATGCCCATTCTGTCTGTAGACAAGAAAACTGGCTCAGAGGGCTTTAGGCACTTGCTCAAAGTCACAGAGCTGGTGGCCTCTTAGAACCCAGCATGGATCTGAGAACAAAAGGCACGCTCCATGGATGCACCCTTGCTAACAGCGAACCTTTAGAAAAGCTTCCAGCACAGGGTCAAAGCCCAGACCTGGGACAGAGGCCTCTCCGCCCGCCCCACTGGCCTTTGCCAGATGGGAAAAAAGCCACCACGTAGAAACATAACCTTTATTGCACACGGCGCTGGGTCTTTTTTCATAGAAAAAGGTATTAACACATAAGCATCTGCAAATTGAAGCAACTCCTGGTTTTCTCGGAACAGTAAAATCGCATGCAGTGTCTCTGAGCTGGGATTTCGGTCCGTGTCAAAATCACCTAGTTGGGAGGGGGTGAGTAGGAGGGCCAAAAAAAAAAAAAAAAAATCGCTGTCTTTGTGCCTCTGACTCAAAAGAAGGTGAGAGAAATATATAGATATATAGATTGTTGCAGTGTCCCATTCTGCCTATATATGTATATATCTCTCCACGCGTATTTCATGGGGTGGAGGATTTGACTTGTTTTGTGCCCTGGCTTCATGGAGAAGAAGAAAATAGTTTCATTTGTACAAAAGAGTCCTATGTACAAGTGTTCATGACTTGGGGTTTCCGTCTGTGAGTTTAATATAAATAATTAAGGAAACAGTCACGTTGGTGTGTGAGGCTGGAGGTGCAGAGATCCCAGTGTGGAGCCCTTCTCCTGAGGCCAGCACTCCTACACCAGGGTGTAGGATTTGGAGTAGGCTCCAGTCCCCTGTTTCTGAGATCGCCCTACCCCTGGGGTGCTCATTTCAAGTAGCGAGTCCCTGGAACCCCCCATTTTGGTGTGTGGGCCTCCAGCCCTCGGAGGTTCAGTGCTGGGGGCTGGTGGGGCAGCACTAGGGGCAGGAGGAGGCTCACTGGGGGTTGGACCAGGTGCTGGGGGTGCCGTGCCAGCTGGGGGTGCCGGCATAGCCAGAGTCCTCTGAGGTAAGGTGGCCGTAGAGGTGGCAGCAGGGGCCCCTGGATGGGGGAGGCCCAAGGGCTTGCTAGCAGGGTCCAGAGTGAGGTGCCGGGCTTGGGTGTGGTAGGCTCGAGGCAGATTCCTCATGGAGGCCTCTCGGGGTGGGACCACAGGGCAGGGCTCCCGCCCGTCTGCCTTTCGGAAGAAGGCCTCCGACTTGTTGTACAGCGGCAGGTTGCAGTAGTCGCCTGGAATCACAGAGGCAGAGGATGTGAGAGTCACAAGCCTGGGGACACACTCGATCCCTGCCTACCCTCACCAGATTAAGAGGATTGCCACTCTGTAACAAGCCCCTCCTATATGTCAGTCCTGTATGTGTATGTGACTTTTTTTTTTTTTTCAGTGCAAAGGAGATAGTATATCCAGATAGAAAGTTAAGATCAGAGAGGTTAAGTGACAAATATGAAGAAGTTGAACATGGTTCCGAGCTGTTCTCAAGCCTTTGCTCTTGCATTATTGTCAGGGAACCAGTGTAGGCTGGCAGGATAAGATCTCGATAGGGCTTGTGTGGCTAGGGAGCAGGGTCCAGAACAGATGCGGGCTGGGTACTCACTCTTGTTGGCTCGGTGAGGGATGGGCACAGCCACGTTCTTGCCCCGGTCAGCATCCTGGGGCTTGGGTGGAGAGGCGGTGAAGCGGCAGATGCCGGGCTCCGAGGGTGTGCTCATGGATGTCATACTGTCGGCGTTCTCGTTGGTGCCGGTGGTCATCTGGTCAGAGGAGCTATCTGAGATGAAGCATTCCGTGATTTCAAACTTGGCGTGTTGCAGCTGTTCCTCCAGCTTGGCGTGCTCGTAGGCTCGGGCCAGCTCCTCGTAGGTGGAGGAAGCGCTCTCAGTGGACACCATGCTGTTCCGTCCTTTGTCTGGGGACACGGAAGGGGTGGAGTTGAGAGGAGAGGAGTATTGGAATGGCACCATCCCTGTTTCCAGCAGCCATTTGAAAGTCTGGCCATGAGGACGCCATTCGCCCCGGGGAGGGGGGCGCGGGAGGGGGGAGGCGGGAGAGTGGCAGTGGTGATGGTGGTGTGCTAAGTGAGATCATTGGCTAATGAAGAACAGAATATTTCTCAGTCTTAAAAAAAAAAGGCAACCACTCCCTGTAATACCAGCTCTTTCTTTAACAAATGTTCAGTGCACTATTGTTTTTCCCTAATATGTTTTCGGGGAGATGAAAATAAAACCATTGACCAAGCACAGTCAAGTACTCCCCGGCCCCCCTCCCCAGCCCTCAGTACACAGGGAGTCAGTGAATAGCTAGGAAGGCAAGTGGTATGGATGTTAGACAACAGGCTAAATAAAGGAATTGGGAAAAAGGAAAGTGGGTAATGACTGAGGAGACCTGGAGGGGGATGGATGGGATGCAGGCAGGTCCCTAGACACACCTGTGTCTTGGGACAGACTGGCACTGTAACTGTCGCTCTCAGTGACAGTCACGCCATGCTGAGAACCCACAGTGCGCCAGTCGGAGGTGAGGGTTCGGGCAGGGGTGGAGGCCTGGCACTTGGTCAAGGTCCACTGGCTTGAGTACCGGTTCCGGGTGCTGTGGGCTGATTTCACGTTCTTCCTGGACACTGGGTCTACACAGAGGGAGGCAAGAAATAGCAACCTCCAACTGAGGGCACTTAGGCACAGGCAGCTGGCACTTAGCACAAAGAACAGTGGGAAGAAAAGGTAGTGGCAGAAGCAGTTATAGAGGCTCACCCGGGAGTGCTGGCCATGCAGCTTTCCTGAACACGTGTAGGAGTAGTGGGTGGCAGTGTTTTCCCCACCCCTCCCCAGCATTTCCTTTCACATGGGAAAGAATGGGATGCTCTGTTCTGTGGCCTGCTAGCTGTCATGCCCTAGCTCCTTGATGTAGCCCTTCCTTGTGTCTGGAGTCACTATGACAGAAAGTCCTGGGACAGCAGCAAGACCCAACTTTTGCCTCAGATTTCTAGGTAAGGAAACTAAGAGCCAGAGAGACAAGGTTAGCAATGCCCAAGGTCATTTATAGCTAGGACGTCTGCAGTCGAGGCCTCCAGACTTAACTCCAGAGCCTTGTCTGCTCTTCTACCCCATTCCATTGTATGTGTTTGCTTTCTCTCTCTAAAAATGTATGTGTATGTATGTGTTCATGTGTGTGTGTGTGTGTGTGTGTGTGTGTGTAAGTCAGAGAGTGATGTCTGTTGTCATCCACCTGCCTGGTCTTTTGAGCTAGGGTCTCTTGCTGAAACTGGAGCTTATAAATTTGGCTAGGCTGACTGGGCAGTGAGCTCTATGGATATGCCTGCTTCTGCATCCTAAGAGCTGGCGTTACAGATGTGTATCTCTGTCCTTGGCTTTTTATATCGGAAACGGGCTTTTGCAGAGGCACTTGACTGACTGAGTCGGCTCCCTAGCCCTCTTTTCCTTTCATTCATGTTTTAAAAATCAAAACTCTACCCCATGCTGAGTGACCCCCATCCCCTGCCCCACCTCCCATAGGACTGCCTCTTTGCGATTAATGCATACTGGTTCCTGGCCGGATGTCTGACATGTCGATGAGGGGTCCTGTGCTCTGGATGAGGGCTGGGTGGTGCAGAGAGACACCAGTGCAGAAGCTCTGTGGGTTGACCGCTTGGCTGAACTCAGCGTCGGTTACGGGGATGGTGGCCTTGTCATCTCCTGAAGGGAGAAAGAAATCACCTGAAGTAGTCCTCCAGGTTTTCTTTGTGTTTATCGGTGCTGAATACCAGATCCAGAGAGGCCAGCAGCTCTCTCCGTTGGCCCTTGGGAAGAGCTACAGTGAATTCCAGGGCTGCTGAGTGGGCCGGCGGCAGCTAGATCCCTGGCACGGCCATGGGGCTTGCATTGACCTCTGTGGGCTGTGGCTTTTGGGGAAGCACGCCTAGAACAGGTCACTCACCCAGCTGCTTGATGCCCTCCTTGTCCTCAATGAGCAGCTGAACTCTGGGGATGTCAATGTGGAGCCGTGGACCCTGGGGCGGCCCTTTCACAGGGGTGTCAAAGCTTCGATTGTTCTTGCTACAGAGAAAGGAAAGGAAGTGGGTGGCTCGGGAGTCAAAGAAGGTTGGGGCAAGGAACTTTTCAGAGCAAAGGGACATTAGAGACCTCTTTGGGTGGTTCCAATAATAAGGGAATTGAGGGATCAGGATGGGGGGATCAGGGGGAGGGGAGCAAAGAGAAAGCAGCTAAATGACACTGACCTTATCAGCATTTCTGCCAAACTCTTTGCATCTGCAAAACAATAGAGAGAGGTAGCTGGGTGAGAATGGAGTTCAAGCAGGACAGAAAGAGCCACGTGATGAAGTAGGGACAGTGTCTAAAATGGCAATGGTCTACGGAGTGGAAGGAGCAAGATAAAGACCCACAAGACAGCAATGATAAGATTTCACTGTTCCCAGTTTGGTGTTGGCTTAGGTCTGGCTACCTTTTTTTAGTCGCCCCCCCCAGATCCTCCCCAGCCCCCCATCTAATAAGAGCTCTTTCTATGCCTAGACTGAACAAGTTATCTCTCCATAGAGAATGGGGCTTTGCATCTCACTGGGACTCTTAGGTGATGATACTGGAGGAGAGGGGAATCAAAGGGTTTATCTAATGTATCAGAGCACAGAAGAAGCTAAAAATGATCTGTCAAAGTGGAGAGAGTGGTACACCTGCATCCAACCATCCATCTACCTAACTGTCCATCCAACCATCCACCCAGTCATCAATCAAAGGATAACCAGCCTACAGTTTACAACCCTAGTGAAGCTAGAAACCTCTTCCAGAAACAGATGGAAGCTGATGCAGAGATCCACAACTGAGCACTGGGCCCAGCTCCCGGAGCACAAACCAAGTGAGGGAGGAGCGACAATATGAACAAAGAGGTTAAGGCCATGATGGGGAAATCCACATATCAGTTGACCCGAGTTAGTAGTAGGTCACTGACTCTAGACTGACAAATGGGGAACCTTCATAGGATTGAACCAGGCCTCCTGAGTACAGGTGGCAGTGGTGTGGCTTGGGCAGTGTATGAGGACACTGGCAGTGGGACCAGGATCTAACTCTAATGCATGAACTGACTTTGTGGAGCCCATTCTCTGTGGAGAGATACCTTGCTCAGCCTAGGCAGGGAGGGGGTGAGGGCATTGGTCCTGCCTCAACAAGGTGATGGGACAGTCTTAGCTGACTTCCCAGGGGAGGCCTTACCCTCTCTGAGGAGCAGATTAGGGGTGGGATGGGGAAAGGGAGGAATGGGAGGAGAAGAGGGAGGGGGAACTGGGATTGGAAAACAAAGAAATAAAATTTAAAAAGAAAACAAAAAAGAAAAAAATATTCATCCATCTATCCATCCATGGATTCAACTATCAATGCATCCAACTGTTTTTTTTTTGTTTTGTTTTTTGAGACAGGCATAAATTCTGAACTGTTCTCAAACTTGAACTCCCTTTGAAGCTGAGGATAATCTTAAATTTCTGATCCTCCTGCCCAAGCCTCCCAAGTGCTAGGTTTTACTGGTGTATACTATCATGCCTAGCTTCTGCAGTTCTGAGGATCAAACCCCAGTGCACATGCATGCGAGGTAAGCATTTTTTCCCACTGATCTATAGTCCCAGGATCCTCACCTAATTATTTAACTATCTACCCAAACAACACCCCAACTATTGACTCATCTACGCAACAATGCATTCAACATCCAACCTCCTTTCCATTTATACATCCAACTAGCCATACCACTATGCAACCACCCATTCAACTATTTATATAATTATCCCACCATCCAGCTATTCTTCTATCCAGCTATATGGATGGGTATACCATGCATCAAATTGTTACCTATTATCTATGAAAATACCCATCCTCCCGTCCACCGAACCAATCAACGATTTATGTATCCAAACCGTCATTAAACCATTTATCCATCCATTCTTGTATTTAGAAATCTTTATATCAACCATATATGTTCATTCATCTAACTATCTAAGGACTCATTCACACAGCTATTCACTGAATGATCCATTCTTCCCTCCCCTCTGATCCCAAATGCCATGCAGAGGTTAGTAATTCCCTCTTCTGTGCTACTGCTGTCTCCTGGCTTCTCCCATTAAGCAGTGAGCTCTATAAGAATATGGCTTGCCACTTCTTCACCTTACATCTCTATTCTTCAGTAGTATCTGCTCTGCATGAGACTCAAATATTTTTCCAAGGAGTGAGCAAGCATATGAAGTAGCTAGTAGGTGCTAGATACTGTGCTAGGTCCTGGGACAACTAAGAAACACCAGATTCATTTATGCCAGACTATGGTGTTAAGTGTTAGAAGGGGACAATATTCAAAATATTTCACATTTGACACAATATGTAAACTTCCTGGCTAGGAATTGAGAAGAGTTTTAGAGAGATGTATTTGCTAATGATATGGAACTATTTGCATATGTTAATAACCAATATGGCTTTACCAGTGTGGACCTGTATAAACGTCAGCCCTAGTTTGCAGGCACAAAATCCTGGGGCTATAAAAGGAGAAAGCTATGAACAACTAAGGAGATTTAAGAAGGTTTGCGTGGCAGGGCTTCCTTTTAGGGGACACACGCTCTGGTCTCCTGCCCAGGTTGTTCTGTGGTCCACTGAAGGGTGGCCGGTATGACTGGGCGTCACCACCCTCTCTCCCTGAAAGCTGGTAGAGAAGTCCCTCACCTCGGAGCCTCTTCAGCCGTTTCTCCTTCCTCTTCTTCCGTACAACAAAGAGCAGGGCCACCCCTAGGGTGGCCAGGATGACAGGGCAGCCGATGGTGAACAGCTTCTTCACATCATCCCCTTCACCTTGAGCAGACTTGATGGGTGGGATGGTGCCTGAGTGGGGGAGAGAAAAGACTCAGGGGGTGCTGTGAATCTCATATGTGGGGAAGCCTGTTGTCCTTGGTCGCTGACCCCCCACCTTCCAGTCCAGAGCTGTAATTCTCTGCTTCTCTGAGTCAGAATTCAGGACAATGTTCCATCAGGACATCCGGGAGCAGTTACATAGCTTTTATGTTTTATTAATGACTTTCTGGTTCTGTTCTAGAATTTTCCTGATCCTCTCTCAGGATTATTTTTTCTGTATGGTGAGGTTTAATGTATAATCCTACGGTATGGAGGGGTGGCGGGTAGGAAGTGTTGATGGGATTACATCCCACATCCATTAGGTATTGGGGGAACAAAACAAGGAGATCAGTCAGGAGGAATCGTGGAGTAGGGGTAGATTCTGCTGAAGAATCTTCTCCTGATGAAGAGTAACTCCTTCATCTCCCCCATCATCTCTCTCTGTCTCTGTTGATACGGGAGAATTGTCTGTATTCTGTCAATCATTTTAATAAAACGCTGATTGGCCAGGCAGGCAGTATAGGCGGGAAAGCCAGACAGGAAGTATTGGTGGAGCAAAGAGACTGGGAGTATTCTGGAAGCAGAGCTCCCTCAGCACTCCTGCGCAAACCACCGAAGAGGCAGCATGTAACTTGCCCAGCTGAGAAAGGTACGGAGCCAATGTGGCTAATGTAGATAAAGATAATGGGGTAACATAAGTTATAAGAGTTAACAAGAAGCCTGACCTAATGGGCCAATCAGTTTATAACCTTATGGAGTCCTGTGTGTGATTTTCTTTGGGGCCTGCCTGCTGGGGGGTACTGGGCGGGACAGATACCCCAACAAGCTGGCCCTCATGTAACACTCTGTTGCTCCTACCACAAGCAGCATTTGTATCCCTGGGTGCCTGCAGGAAGGCAATGACAGACTCTATCCAAATAACGCTCTACAAAACCCTGATCCTTAATCCTTATCTGTTTTCCAAGCTGCGCTTAAGAGTCATCTTCTACTTGAAGACTTTCTTATTGGGGCCTATCTCCTGAAGACTGTTTTTGTTCTATTTTCTTAGTATGTAGGTAGACTTAACTTAGCTTGTGACAATTAACACCTAAGAGTTTAACTTTTTTTCTCCAATGAGTGTGTGTGTGTGTGTGTGTGTGTGTGTGTGTGTGTGTAAAGCATCCTCATGTAGTAGACATCAGTTAGGTGGTCACCTATGCTCTTGTATATATTTCCCAGACTTCCTTGCAGTTAGCGTAGGGTCACGTGATTATTTGGAACAACAGAGGGTGAAAAAGAAGTGATGATTTTTTTTTCTTAACTAGAGCAAAGACCTGGGTTTAGTCCCCAACACATGAACACATGCATGTCCCTTGAAGGCAGTTAAAAATTAATGTGCCTTTTTTCTTGCAGAAAGGGCCATGTCCGAGATGATATAGCTAACAGGTTGTAGCCAATCAGCTCTCTCAGGACTTTATTAGAACAAGAGAATCTTCACTGGGTGGAGGAGCCACTAGCCTCTCGGTATTTGCTACTGCAGAACAGGCTGACTATCTGCTAGTAGAGTCCTCAGAGGGCACGGCCTCAGTTCCATCTTGGCTTACCTCTCCCACTCTACCTCCCTGAGGCAATGGACAGCAAGAACTGCATCTTTAAAGACTTCTCTGCCTCTCAGGCCTGGCTGCCAGTAGATCTGCCCACTACCCACTGGCTACCAATCAGCTCGTCTCTCTGTCTTGCTCCTTAGCCCTCTACCCTGGGTTTATTCCTGTCTGTTTCTATTTGCTCATCTCTTTAGGTACCTTAGAGCTGTCCCATCCCATCCTTTCCAACTTACTGCCATCGTAGTCCAGGGTGGCAAACTGGGCAGTCTCGTTGCCACAGCCAGCGCTGTTGCAAGCCCTCATGCGGAGCTCGTACCACGTGGCCTCTCGAAGCTCTGTCAGAAACACCTCTGTGGAGCTGTTGGCCCGGATGCCCTGCCAGGCCCAGGTCCCCTTGGGCCGGTACTCCAGGACAATGGTTGTAATGGGGCAGCCCCCATTGTTCCAGCCCTGCAGGTTAAGCCGAGCATGTGTGGAGTTGATATGGGTGAAGAGGTGTTGGTCTTTGCTGAAGGAAGGTTCTGGGGGACCGGAAGGAGAGAGATAGGTTAGGGGACCTGGAAAGAAGAGATCCATCATCTATCTGGGATGGCTTTTCTTGGGGCAGCTGAGGCTGCAGCAGGGTACCCCAGGAGTGGGGAAATGAGAGGAGGAAAGGCCCTAGAGTGGGGGGTCCCAGCACTGAAGGTGAGAGGCGGGAGGAAGGAAGAGCGTCAACCCTCTGACCCTCCCGGTAAGGAAGTAGAATCTCTTAATCATGGGTAGCCCAGGCTGGTCTCTAACTCTCTCTCTAGACAAAGATGACCTTGATTTTCTGATTCTCCTGTTTCCACCTCCACGTGCCAGGATTACAGTTTATGTGGAGCTGGGGACTGAACTGGGTGCTCGTGCCTGCTAGTTCGGGGGCCGGCGGGCGGGGGGGGGGGGGGGGGTGGGGGGGGGGGGGGCTGGGTGATGGGAACAAGGCTGAGCCTCCTCCCTCTAGTCCCCTGTGCTCTTGGCTCCTCTTCCCAGTGATAGCCATTCTCTGCCCCCTACTGTGGGCCCACTATCCCACCCACCTCCCTCCTGAGCCCTGTTCCCCTTTGCCACCCTGTCCCAGCCTCACCCCGCCCGTGAGTCTTGGCCTCGATGATCTCGCTGATGCGCCCAGAGCCCACACTGTTCTTGGCTGCCAGCTTCACCTTGTACCACGTGCCGCACTTGAGGCTGTCCAGCTTGAAGGAGCGCTCGCTGGAGCTGATGAACACATCCTTCCACTCCTCACTGTTATCCACTGAGTATTGCAGCACGAAGCCTGCAGGAGGGGTTGGCTCAAGTGGGCAAAGCAGAGAAGGGCAGGGCAACAGAAACCCAGCCTGGACTCCAGCAGAGGGCAGAGGGGAGGGCATATGCAAATGAGATGCAAAGCTGGAGGCCTTCTGTTTCAGTGCTGGGTGAGTTTGGGTCCCTCCTTAGCTCTCGCATTAGGATTAGAGAGCTGGCGACCTAAGACACTGATCTATGAGGGGCGGGGAGTGTGACCAACAGTGTCCCCATTTGGGAAGAGCTTTCTTGAAGTACACTCTTAGCCCCACCTCAGGCGATTGAACCCTGAGCTGCATCCTTACAGGACCTCTGCTGAGTCACACACACTCTTGTTTGAGAGGCACTGACGTCATGTTTGTCTGCTTTGAAAGACTGAGAAACCTAGGCCCGGACAGGAAAGCACTTTCAATGTGCTCCGATCCCAGATGGAGGGGGTGGGAGTACTTTCCATGTGCACCCGAGTACCTCCTGTTCTGAATCACCCTCCTGATCTTCCCTCGGGATTGCGAGACCAAGTATAGAAATAGGTAAAGCTCTTCTCTTGCCCTGGGACTCCAGAATTTCCTCTCCTCTCCCTCCAGACTTCTCCTTACCTCTGATAGAGCTGCCCCCATTGTCCCCTGGAATCCAGGTCAGAGTGATGGAAGAGGCCGAGGTTTTGGAGACAGTGAGGCGGGGCTGGTCCGGGGGAACTGTGAGAAAAAGCCACCAGCTGTCAGTGGAAAAGGTTAATCCCGTGGCCATGATGGAGGGACTGAGGGCCATGACAGGGAGGACTGGCCCTTCCATATCCCTTCCTGTTACTCCTCCCTCCTCTCCTTTCCCACCTTGGTTCCAACAAGGTCTAACTCCCGACACCCGGGGTTGGCTTTCTTGGTCATTTGGTCTCTTGAATAGGACAGAATTCCTGTTTCTGTTGCCACTCAAACCACCTGCCTTGCAGAGTCTCACCTTGCACCAGCAGGTTGACGATGATGGTGTCAAAGCCCCCGGTGTTGGTGGCCGTGCACGTGTAATAGCCAGAGTCTTCCGCCTTCACGGCACGAAGCAGCAGTGTGCCGTTTGTGTGGATGAGCCGGTGTCCATCCAAGGACGTGGGAATTGCTGATTCTTCACTGCCAGACGAGGAGGGGGTATGGGTTATGGCACACACTCCCTAGGGCTGGGGCCCTCCCCGCAGTGTGGGGACAAATAGAAGAGGGGGCAGGAGGAGGTCTACAGAGGATCTGGGGTTCTTGGGCCTTTGTTCAGGACTCCCCAGGAATTTCCAGTGATTCCCAGGAAGTTTATCGACTGGGGGAGGGGCAAACTCGGCTGGACAGTGTCACATGACCTGTAGAACTGCCACGGGGGCAGAGGGATGCCAAGCAGCCTTCCATTCCACAGGAGCCGCACCATCCATCCTGTCGCGCACCTGTCCTTGGTCCACTTCACAGCTGGGGCTGGGTCTCCCACGGAATTGCAAGGCAGCCGGACATCTTTCATCCAGGGTGTTGTTACAGTGCCTCCGAAGGAGATGATCTTTGCCGGGGCTAGAGCAAGGAGAACATGAGGGTCACCCTGCTTTTTAACCCTTCCCGTTTCCCTAGCCCTTTTCACAGGGCTCCCCACATTAACAATGCAAGTCAGGGGAGACTGTTTGATAAACGGGTGAAGATGGTCCTGTGACAAAATGCGGCCAGTGTGCCAGGGCTCAGGAGAAGAACAGTCAGGACCTGGCGTCTGCCGGTTTTGGGGGAGATGGTGTGTGACGAGACCTCCCAGGATTCCAGGCCATGTAAGTCATGATGGTGTTCTAGCAGGGACAAGGCAAGCTGGATAGGAGAGGCTGTGTGGACATAGGTGTACACATATGTACTTATTTGAGTTTATATAAGAGTGCTGGAGGTGCAGTGGTGTTCATGAAATGCTTGTGTACGTATTGCAGTGTGTTGTATTTAATGCCCACAGGGGCAGGGGCAGACTTCTACCAATAGCTCAGGCCCTAGGGCCTTGTCCTGGGAAGAAGGCAGACTTTAAGCTCCTTCCCTTCTGAAGAAGGTGAAATCTGGAGACGGGGCAGGGTTGGTGGTGTCCTGAGGAGGATGAGGGGAAGTGAGGATGCTGGAACGGCTGTGTACGAGGGGCTCTAACTCATAGCTACAAGGGCCAGCTCAGCACATCTCAACAGTCTCGGAAGGTCAGGCCACACAGTCGGATAGGCTGCTGACAGCACCTGAAGGTTGCAGGTGTGAGCCCTTGGCTTATCACAGACCCTCAGCTGGACACTTGCTGGCTCTGCCTCTGTGGCCAACAGGGGGCTGCTTTCATTCCAGAGAGTGGGGCTGGGTCAAGGCAGGCCAGTACTGAGACCCTAGCCTAGAGAATCAGGTGAGCGTAAGCTTGACTGGGAAGGGATGGGACAGAGGGAGAGGCCAGGAGACCAGAGACACTGGTAGACTTGACGTCCTCTGGTGTTAGTTCTAATACCCCTGGGCCAAGGAGGAAACAGCCATAGTTCCACTGTGTGACTGATCCTGGGGTTTGGGTTGGGGTCTTAGAGCTATCGTTCTCTTAAAAGTACAGGAGTTCCTACAGACGATGCTGTTCCTTTCGTCCAGATCAGAGATGGGCCAGGCCTGCCCTGAGATAGTCTTGTTCTCTATTGGTGGATAAAGGAGCATTACCAGAGAGAACCTTCTGCCTGCTGTTTCTGGTTGCATCATGAGACTCTCTCAGGAGTCCCGAAGGCCCCGTGGAGCATCAATGAATTCTACACCCCGAGAAGCCCCTCTTCCAGGAGCTGAGTGCTAAGACCAAGGTCTCAAGTTGGGGGAGACTTTGCATCGTGGCTACGGTGCCTCTGTGAGAGTGGGCCGAAGGTAGCCTGTTGTGTGACTTTCCTAGAGTCAGGGGGCAGCAGAGGCCTATTCTTTGGCCCATGCAGAAGGGAGACTAGCGGCCAGCTTCTCACAGCCACAGTCACAGGTAGTGGGGAGGGGACATAGCCCTGCTTGGGAAGAACCAGAATTCTGCAAAGAAGCTTCTGGAAGTTTCTAAAAAACCCTGTTCCAGGTCCAGGCCTCTCACCCTTGCCAGCAGGCTCGATGGTGACCTTCTCGCTGCTGTTCCCCCTGCCTGCAGAGGTGACCGCGGCCACCCACAGCAGGTACTGCTGTCCCCGGTTCAGGTGGGCGATCCTGTAGAAGAGCTGCTCTGGGCTCGTCTCGTACTCGCTGGGAGCCTGTGGGGCGGAGGCAATGCCACAGTATAAAACAGATGCCAGGCCTTGGACCCCAGCCTGTCATTGTCCTCGGTGCCTTGGGCTGGAGCCAGGACTCTGTTCAGCGTGCTTTTTCCCAGCCTGAGAATGGCGGTGGACAGCATCTGTGCTGGGCTCAGCCC